GCGCGGGGGCGGGGAGCCATCAGCAGCTGATGCCCCCGGCCGGCGGCTACGTGCACAAAGGCACAGATGGTGAGCAGAGCCCGCGTGTGACTCGTGTCCTGATGCCAGCGCAGCCTGGCTCCCCCAAGCATTGCACAGCGCAGGGCAGAGCTGCGCCTTAACGTCTGCGGTGACTTTCCCTAGAGAAGAATTCAGGTTGATCCGAAAATTTCCGTTGATTGTTCAGAGTTGGAGGCACCTCCTGTTTTTTTTCTAGCGTTTGTTTATATCACAGAATATTAGGAGTTGGAAGGGACCTCTGGAGATCTCCCAGTCCAACCCCTGCCAGAGCAGGATCACCAGAGCAGTCACACAGGAACACGGCCAGGGCTTTGGGTGTCTCCAGAGAAGGAGACTCCACAACCTCTCTGGGCAGCCTGGGCCATGCTCTGGCACCCTTGCAGTAAAAAAGTTTTTCCTTATGTTCAGGTTGAACCTCCTATGCTTCAGCTTGGGACGATTGCCCCTTGCAATATTCTGCTATCAGGGCTTCTGCATCCCATGTGCATCGTTTAATCTTTGGTCCAGCGATGTCTGGGCTCACATCTGCTGTGAGTGCCTTTGCATGTGGATGTCATCACTGCTGTTCTTTGGGTGCCGCAGTCATGCAGTTCCCTCCAGGGGCTCTTTGCTTCAGGGTTTGTGATCTGTTCAGCAAGGCAGCGATGCCATTAGAGAATTTCCAGCTTCAGTGTCAAGGTGGACTTTCGTGGTGTTTCTTTCCCTTGGCATCTCAGGAGTCCGGGCTTTAGAGGTGAAAGTAAACCTAGCTTGGATGATGACTTGCTGCACCTTTCATCCTTAGGATGAAATTGCTGCCTCTGCCAGGCATACAGTCTGCACACTACAGTCATAGCTAAAGGGTCTGCACTATTCCCCTACCTTGTTTGGACACTTGTCAGGATATTTGCATCAGTGAGTCTATAGAGATGCTGTTTTTACCATCCAAATTCTGAGCAACCGTTCAGTCCTTACGTAGCCTGGCTTTCAGAAGTGCTCCCTCGGTGCGAGTTTCTCCTGTCTGTCCCATTGCCCATTCCCCTCAGTCTGTGTGGGGAAGGGCTCATCTCAGTGACCGCTGTGTGGTCTGGTCCGAGGTGTGAGGACACGCAGGGCACAGGCACAGCATAGGAGCACCAGCCTCTGTGGATGGGTCTCTCGGGTTCATTCCAGGGCTGTTTCCCTCTGGTGCCCAGGCTGGTTGGACCCGCACGGGACCCTTTTGGCCTTGAAACAGGAGAGCAACACAAGATACCTCTCTCATGTGCCTGATTTTCCCCTGGTCAGCCTCAAAAGGGCAGTGCTGTTGAGCATTTGGGTGGTGGTGGGGAACTTAAAGCATTACTCCTGTTACCTGTATCAAGGCCCTTCAAACTGCACTCCTGTAAAACCTGATAATGCTAAGACATGAAAGAGTCTGTGGAAATCGAGCACCCTTATCTTATCTTATCTTTGTCAGGGGGTGCAGCACCGCTGGTGATCTGCTCCGACTGCTACGACAACGCAAACATCTACTCCAGGACGCGAGAGTACTGTCCCTATGGCTACATCTCGGAAGAGGACCCCCTGGACCAAACCCTCCCTAATCTTATGGTGCAGATGCCTAAGGAAGCATACACAGCACGCAGCCAGCACGACAGCAGCACTCTCGATCATCTCCTGACAGACAAAGACGTGTCTGTCTTCCTCACCAACCAGGACAAAATAAGTGAAAAGAAGCTCTCCTCCCAGCAGATGAACGGTGAGCGTCCCCTTTCCCTCTTGTTGCTTTGTGTTCTCTGGTAACTTGACCTTCCTTGTGCTGCCCTGTGCTGTCGGTGCACAGCTCATCCTTCGAGTGACCGTGGTTTGTCAGTGACCCAGCTGTCCACAGAACTAGGCCTCAGTTTGCCTCTGGTACCCAAGAGCTGAAGAGAGTGATGTTAAACAGACAGTGTTTTGTATTTCCTAATTTCAGTTTGTCTCTTAAAGCCTGGAATGGCATCCCCTGCTCCTGCTTCAAGGCTGTCCAGCAGCCAACAGTTGGAGCTTAGAGGAAATTCAAATAGCCCTTCTGTTTGAGTTGGCCTGAGGTGCAAACAACTCCAAAAGACTTTTTTTGTTCTAAATTGCTGTTATGTTGACTTTCTTCCAGGTAGCCTTTTTAAAGATCCACACTGAAACTGTGTGTGTTGTTTGTGGTTGTGGTAACAGATTGCTGAAATGGGAAAGCATCCAGTCAAATATGCTCTCAAAACCAGAGAAAATAACCTCAGAAAGACTTGTAATGCTGAGCTGCACAACTCTTATCTGTCTAAAATTTGAGTGTGTTTATCCTGAACTCACTCCTGTTGTAATTTTTCTTCCTCAGAGCCCTTTCAGATCCCCTTATGGGGAGGAAGCAAAGACCTGGCGCGCTCCCACCCGCACTTCCTGCATCAGCAGTCGGCCCGTGAGACCCCGCAGCCCCTGCGAAGCGAGGGCATCGCTGACAGCGACCGGGAACACGCAACGTCACCCAGACCCTGCCACAGGGTACGTGAACACAGCTTTGATTTTAGTAGGACACGGAGCGTTCATGACTATAGTGAAACCACGTAAGACACCAAAGTGAAGTCTTGAGAGCAAATCCGATTCAGCTGACTTTTGTACTGCCTACCTCAGGACTGACCCCAGGGCCAGAGATGCTCGTGTGCCCACAGCGAGGGGCTGAGCAGGGCCTGGCTCCCCGGGAAGGAGGCGCAAAGCCTTTTCCTTGGAGTTCTGTGCTTTGGGGAACGGGAACGTGCAACAGCACACACGGGCGATCAGCGACATTGAAACGTGGGTTTTCTGGTGCTGGGAGCAGCCTTTGTGTTGGTGCATGCTTTGAAAATCTCAAGAATGCGTAGCTACTTCACACTGCTTTGTCTGCTGGAGAACAAGCGGTCAGGGCCTCCTCAGCACTCCCAGTGATCCTGCGCATTAAACCCTTGGCCAGCTTTTTGTTCCCTAGACTGCTGGCAGGCTGTTACCAGTCTAAGGCCGGGACTTGTTTTCTCCTATGAATAATGGACTCTAGTTGTAAATAAATTTGCATTTATAAATATTTTGTATACACTAAGCATATAAATGTGTTGGCTGTAATGTAAATATATTTTTTATTATGCCAAAGTGTGTATCATACTGTTAGCCTTGACAGCTGCATATCAAGCCATATGTTTTCGTTTCGGGGTTTTTTTTGTGAGACTGAAAGCTTGTTTCTGAGGGGAAGCAAGTGAATTTACTATAGCTATGTGGTGAAGCTGTGATATTGATGAATTTCATTGTTACGTACAACTCCACATCCATTAAGCCTGGCTGTGAGCTGATCTATGCCATGGCAGCAGCGCAGTCCCAGGTTTGACTCATTTAAGTGGTGAGAGTCCCTAAATCTGTATCGGTGCCCGCCTTGTCCCGTAGAGCATAGAGCACAGCAGACCCCACGCTAAGAGGCTGCAGTGCCCAGCTCCCAGCAGCTCTTGTGAACAGCAAGAACAGCGCACAAATCCTTTCCTTCTGGTCAAAGAGCTGGGAGCTGTGGGTGGTTTGTGGCAGAAGCTTATCTAAGGTTTATCTTTAAAAACAGCCTTTGTATTGTGCAGGCTCCAAAGGTCTCCGTGTATTTTTCCCCGCTGACAGTTAAGTGAACCTTCAAAAAGGATGTTGTGATGAAAAGCATTGGATAAATTGGCAGTATTGATGAACACTCACTGCACTGTGCTGTAGGTTTTCTGTTTCCTCTGCGCAGCCAAGAGGAACAGGTGGTTGAAAACACTTTTGTCCTTTTCTGTCATAAAACAGCAGGTAAAATTGTTGAACTCTTAGTAATTTCTAGACCTCAGCATGGTCAAAATGTTTAAATATTTGTCAAGTGAGAAATGAAGCAGGATGCGGGGAACCGCTCCATATTGACCATGCAGTACTTGCTGAGACAGAGGAAGCGCAGACCTCATTAGGTGCAGGGGGACGTGCCTGACAAACTGAGGAGGAAGGACACGGAGGACTCTGGAAAGTTCCTTTTCCTGGGCCAGGCACCGCTGTGCAGCGGGGTCGGGGACCGGGCAGGATGGGTTCCCCCGTGACCGCGGTGCTCAGCGCTGAGCGCCTCGACTTTGTGCTGCGCTCTCACTCCTGAGGAGCAGGGGCTGCTTCCCAGGGGGAAGTCAGGGGATGGGCACTGAGGTGGAAACAGCTGCTCGGTGCTTTTATAGACACAAACCCTCTGTGGAGCAGCCCCAGAGGTATTTGGGGCTCCCCTTGGTCCGCTCCTCGATAGAAGGTGTGTGAGAGGGATCGGATGCCGTCACGCACAGCCACAGCTGAAGCTTCTGGCACTGCGTTATTTGGGTACATGAGTGAGGAGGCGCTGGGAGTGATGGGTGTTCTCCCCCAGCTCCTGGGCATGAACAGCAGCCAGATCCATGCAGATGAGCAAACACCGTTGAGGGCTCTGGCCATGCTCTCCAAGAGCCGCAGTTGCTCTGGTCAGAAGAGGATCCAGTTGTCCCTGACCTCTGGGTAAAGCAGAGCGAAACGCAGGTGTGTGAAACTGGCCTCTGATGTCTGAAACGATTTAATAATGTACGTGGTAAAAGAGGAGTCTCAAGTTCATTCCTTTCTGGCTTTATTTCCTCCAGGCTTTTCCTTTCCAGACAGCCTTTAGGACACGGTGCTTATTTCCAACCCAAAGCGATCTCTGTTGCAGGAACTCGGTGCTGTCAGTTTAGATCCAGATGAGAGCGGTCAGGTCACGAAACCGCAGCAGCAGCAGCAGTGTCTCCTCTTCTGGGGCCGTTTGCTGCCTTCTCCAGGTGCTCACAAAGCTACGGCAGCGCTGCTCGGTGAGTGCAGAGCCGCAGTGTCCCACTCGTGGGTAAATACAACTCGGGTGTACTTTGGGCACAACTCCCCGTGTGACTGAACCCCCTTCATGCTGTCTGCACCACAACAAACCGCAGTGCCGGCTCTCAGAGCCACTCAGGGGCTCAAGCTGCGCCTGTTTCTGAGATATTGGCCTAAAAAAGCTGCCGTGCTGAATTAGGACACTCGCATCCTTCCAGGAGCAGTGGTATCTCTTTGAAGTCCATAAGCTGGTTGTAAATAGCTGAGGCTTGTAAGTAGGTGAGCACCTTGCTGTGCTTAGCGTTCTGGAAAGCTTCCTGGGCAGACCTGCAGGGAAAACCAGGTCTCGTTCCCCTTTCTCAGGAGCCGCAGCGGGGCAGCGCGGCCGCTCTGTGCAGTGAACACCAACGGTTACTGTAGTCGATGCCAAAGTACGACCGGTGCGGAGCTGGGGGTCGTAGCAAAGCTGCTTTTCTTCCCTGATGCTATTTCCTAGTGTCTATTTATATTTTTTTCACATAAGAATGTATATTTTGTATAGCATGTGTAATATATGTTTGTCTATTGTAATATACCTTCATTCAATAAAATCTATATACGTTGAACACCTAGTGTAACCTGGTTAGTTTGCAGCTCATGTGATTCATTTTTCTTCTGTGATAATTGATTTTGCAGAGGGTAAGCACTGCAGAAAACGTTGCTGTCTGTGTGTGTTCCCAGGTGCCGCTGCTCGGGCAGAGGCTGAGCAAGGCCAGGGGTTCCCTTGGTTGGCTCTTACCTCAGTTTTCTGGCAGGGAGGTCCCCGTACCCGCTCTGGCAGCGCGTGGGTGGTTGTGCTGCGCTGCTCTTGGTCTGTGAGCGCTGCTCTCCTGCTCTCTGGTTCCTCTGAAGCACCAGAGATTTTCCCTGGCAGCAGCCATCAGCATTGAGGAGCAGTGGGATCGTGACCAGGTCCTGGGCTGGCGGGCGAGGGGCTCCCACCTCACAGCCCCTGGCCCTCCTGAGCACCAGCGTAAGTGATTTATTCCTTTGAACACAGTTCCTGTCGCTGTATTCTCACGTTGTAATGATGAATCCCCTTTGCTCTGCCATGCTCCGTTTTGCAGGCCTTGCTGTGTTACCTGCTCACAGCTCTCAGCACCGTGCAGCTTTTCCCAAGTTATCCCGAGCTCTGGAGCTGCCTCGTCCCCTGTTGCTGCTGACGGGTGAGGTTTGCACCCAAGGACCGCGTGGTTCCCGAGAGCGGGGTGTACGCACAGCCCAGCATGCAGGGGTTGTCGCCCGGCTCACGCGTTGTGGCTGCAGCGCAGCACACGGCAGCTGTGGTGCAGGGCTTCCTTTGGGGCTGCACAGGGACCCCTGTGGCAGGGAGCATCCCCAGCGCGGCTCCCGAAACATCCACGGAGCAAAGGCAGGCTGTGCACAGCGCCCCACAGACCAAGCCTTAGGAGCAGGAGCGTGGTGAAACCCCACCCGTCCCGTGATCGCCTCAACGGGATGCTCAGGAAAAACCAGCCGTCGCCTTCGCGGTAAGCTCGGCTCTGCCCGGCTCCTTACGTACGTCCCAAACCTGGCGCGGTGTCAGAGAACCAGCAGCTATTGAAGATAAGATCATGAATAGTTAATGTTCTCAGTTACCCAAGCATATTTAAAAATTAACACTGCAGCCTGGTGCTGATGAGATTAAAAAACTGGGTCATCAAAGAGAGGAAAAAACCGAAAACAATTGCATCTACCCTGGGGCTTCACTAATGACTGAGTTCTTGTGGATCCTGTCCCTCCCTTGCTTTAGTCCTTCTGAGGGTTAAAATACCGGGTAACTCGTGAACCCCCTCCCCTCCTGCAGGTCCTGGTGGCCCCTCCAGCAGCCGGGGAGCGATGGTGCTGGTCAGTGCCGTGGGTGCACCAGGACGGGAAACAGGGTGAGAACAGGACAACCTCAAACTCGTCCGTTAACCGAGGCCTCCTCTGCCTGTGCCCGGCGGGCCTGGAGCGGGGCTCCCATTTGCAGGGCAATGGAGCGCTATTAAGGCTGCTGTTTATCTCATTTTCTCCCGATGAGATGCCATTGATCTGCTCTCTGGAGGGACGGTGGCTGATGAAACCCCGAGCGTTTATTGACGGGCGCTGCCACGGGGTCACCCTGGCTCTGCTCCCCTCTGCGCTGACATTAACGGCGGGGTTTATCTCGCGAGCTGACGGGGATCACGGCGCTCGATTCCAGCTCATTTCTCTGGCAAAGGCAGATTTGCTCTAAATGAGAGCCTCTCGCGCATCACTTGCGTGCAGCACAGGGGATAACTGCTCCGCTCATCACTTTGAAGGTTCAATTTCACATTAGGTTTAATGTCTCTTCTGAAGACTTATATATGTAATTCACCCCAGCATTTAGCAAAATCTCCCCCGTCCTTGCTCAGATTTATCGTTGATGCCGCTCTGCCTGGCGCGGGATGTTGCAGGCGCATCTATCGAGCGGTGGGCTGTGATTTGTGACTCGCCGAAGGGGATTCAGGATGCAGAAATAAATGTGCCCCACTCGATTAATAGCGAAGGGGCTGGAGAGGGAGGGACGGCTGCACAGAGAGGAGCCGCTCTGCAGAGCTGGACCGATCCTTTCTGAAATATTTTAATTAACTTAAAACAAATGCACAGGAAAGGGCCAGCCATTAGCTGCCTTTCCTTCCTGAGACTCATCCCTGCTAATTAAGCAGCGTGTCAGTGCGAGTGACCTACAGATA